AAATGTACAAATGTGCTTGACACAGTGGATGTATGTATAGATTGTGATAAGAGTTGTATGAGCCCCCAAAAAAATGATTAAAAAAAAGAGCTTTCTATTCAATAACAATTGAATATTGAACAAATGTCCCAGCTTAGCTCAGATAAAGTCCATAAGTCCAATATTAGACCAATACCGATCTATAAAGTCCTCTTCAGACTCACAAAGCACATGAAATGATGCAGAATGCAGGAAGATCACAGGTCAGTGGGTGGGAAGTCTTGTGGATCCAGTGGCAGTGTAAGCATCTCAGTGCTGGCAGGGGTCTCTACATGGCTCCTCCAGCTCAGGGGACTAGTGTAGCACCATGTGTCTTGTCAGCTGGAATGCCTCCCAGGGAGTGTCTTTGTGTCCCACCTCCAGCAAGCTATTTATCTCTGTGGCACCTCCACATGAGGTCATTAAGCTGTGACATGATTGACAGGCTAGCCTCTACTCCTTCACTCTTAAGTCTCAAACTGACAACAGATTATGTAACTTATTGCAGACCCTAGTGGGCATCTCAGTAAGTTTATAAAGGCAAACACTCATTTACTATTTATCATGGATTTGTGCAAGCATATGACAAAAGTAGAAGGCAAAATTAATGTTAATATTCTTTAGAGTTAGTGAGCATTGTATGGTACAGGATTGATTATAACATCAAAAAGGAACAACAAGATTAATCACAACGTGTCTGGATCTTTGGACCAAAAAAGTACATTCTAAAATAAATCGCTAATGGGGCTTTCCAAGATGGGAGGGAGAAGGAGGCTTTTTGGTCAGTTTGCCTCACTACTGACCAAGGTGGTGAGCAGTGTGGCTGATATGGTTCAACACCTTCTACCAGATAAGGAGGCCATCGCCACCCAGTTCTCAATAGTACATTCAAATAGAAAGCATATGCCTCTCAATGTGGGGGTGACATGTACTCAAGGCCTGATTCAATAGGATACACTGTCAGGGATATACAGACACTAACAGCAAAGTGTGTGAAAGTGGGGGATGACCAGGCTTTTGGTCACCAGAGGATCTGGGGAATAAATGGAAGATCTGAACATTGCTTGGAACATTTCAAAATGGCCATCTTGTGTTGGGCTGGTTGATAATTCACTGCTTTGCATATTTTCTTGTTTGCTCTTTTCATTTGCTCTGCTACACAATATTAAATTTAATTCTTTACCATTTCCTTTGAAGCCCAGGATCCAAGGATTATCATCTGCATCTATTTCACTTTATCTTATATTTTTACTGTAGAGGGTCTGGGTGGTTTGTCTACCTAGTCAGAAATCTTGCTAGAAATCTCTAGTTTATAAAGTTAAGAGAAAAAAACAAATATTATTTCTTTATCCATAATTAATTCTGTTAAATATTTAAGTTCCTTTTTGTAGAGCAGTGGAGCTGCTGGATTCTTCAAGATTGGGCACCATTATGAATTTATCAAAGTCAAACCCACAGTTGGTGAAGCCAAACCCAAGAGATCCAGGTGTAACAATTGGACCATTCTCCTGGGAGCATCCACAGATGACAATTGGCCAATCGGCCTCTTCAGCCATGGTGAGACACTCTCAGGCGTCCAAGGTCAATAGGCCCCAGGCTGTTGCTGCTGTTGTTGAAGCTTCAGGACAAGAAGATGACATAGGAGAAGCAGAACTGTCCCAGGATGCAGAGTTCTTGGAAGAAGGATCTCCAGTTACTAGCCCTTGGGAGACCAAACAGCCATCAGGAAGTTCATTACCACAGAACATCTCCTTCTACCTCTCTGGTAATAACCACTGTCTTTCCAGGATATCTCTTTTGTCTGTGCATCAAAGTTCCCTTTGGAAAGAATGATTGTGGTGGCTTAGGTATGAAACCACATCAACACAGGCCTTTTAAGTTAAGCATGAGATTGAAGAGCATGTATCACACCTGCTAGGATTAGTATGTCTGATTCTCAGTTTCCTCATTTCCAAAATTGTAAAATAATGGTGTCC